TGTTGGATATGAAGTGATCATAACCAACTCGCGCTACGCGCTCGTTGGTTATTTATCACTTCATATCCAACGCGGTTTCATGGAATAATTGTTAAATAACCTTTATTTACGCTTGGCAGTGTTTATAGCACGAAGGCTATTGGGGCCGAGCTAAAAGCTGTAAACGTAACGTAACATGTTAAGAATCCCGACTGACCGGAGGCAGACCAGCTGGCTATTTACAAGCGTGGCCGAGGATTTGAATTCGGGACTGCCGTGAAACAAATTAATGTAGTGGTCAGAGCGGGACTCGAACCCGCGACCGCTGGATTGCGAGCCCGACGCGCTGACCATTCGTCCACGCTGCCTCCGCAGCTCCACGCTGTGTAGAGTGTGTTCAGGTGACGTCATCAAATTCTCAAATCCAAAACTAAAGAGCCGCTAAAGGTTTTATCCTCATCGGGCATACGAGGTACTAAATTTATATCTGTTTATAACTTTCCAGATCAGTAGCGTCCTTCGTGTGGAAACCAGCGCATTTTGAATTTCGAGTTATGGCGGTGCGTTACAGAAAGCTAAGATCGCGTTTGTCGAAAAATATACACTTATCTAGTGATTTTTAGCCATTTTAGGAGTTAAAGTATCAGGAAAAGTGCTTGTGTAAAATATATTGTTTTTTGGTTCGGTTCAGATAATCAGTCGACTAGATAGCGAAAGTAAGTTCCAGATCGATGTTTACATTATTTTCCGGCCGCCATATTGGAGGACTAAGGAAGTCTACCAACATGGTGGCTCCATACTAGGCTCTATAATTTTGCGCGGAACATTTCGACGAATATCTCAACTTTGGGACAACGCACACACTTTAAACTTGGAGAAATGTCTTCTTTATTTATCGTCTATAATATCACAATTTCTTGACTTTATCCACTGAATGGTTTTTGATTTTATTTTTTATTGCGTGACAATGAACACACTCTATAAAGCCTGGTTTTCACTAGCGACGCAAGCACAAGCGCAAGCAATAGGGATGACCCGGATGAAAACGAAATTCGAAGCAAACACAAGCACAAGCAAAATTATCCGAACCTTTCGAACTGTTTAGGCGCGAGGTAATCTGGATCCAGTGTTTTCACTGGCCAACATAACCACGTGTGGTAAATATCCTTGTGTTTATGTTATGCCTGAGCGGTATTTCGTTTTCACTTGTTACAGCGCAAACGCAAGCATAAGTGCAAGCACAAAAATTTTGATCCCTGTGATTGTGCTTGTACTTGTGCTTGCGCATGTGCTTATGCCTGCGTCAAGGCCATTTTCACCGTGAAATAAGAATTGCTGTGCTTGCGCTTGTGCTTGGGCTCGTGCTTGCGTCGCTAGTGACTACTTATAACTGCCAGACCTGTGCTATTAACATTGTTTATTTGCAAAAGGCGCAGTTAATATCAAAATAATCAAAACTCATTCAGAGAAGAGGGAAGAGGTCGTGATTAAATACACCATTTTGCTAAAGCTAGCTCCAGTCCCTTGTGGAGGCAAAATTTGATCTGTTTAATGAATTAATAAGGCCATTTTTGGCCGAGTGATCACTTCGTGCCCCCATAAGGGAATGGAATTAAGAAATATTTGCTTTAGCAAAATGGCCTATTGTCATGACTAAAAATACATCCTCGAAAATAACGTGTATTTTCATCGCAAAAGAATAACGATAACACCTTTAATTTTATCTCTTTTAAATGAATATTATACTGCCGTATTAACACAGACGTGCCATATCAGGTCGACGCCAAAAAAGAAACATTACGAGCCTTCAGTAAAATGAAGACAAGTTGTCAAACTTGTTTGCAATGAATATTAGCAAAATCGTTCTGAACTGATATAATATGTCAAAGCAGGGATTTGAGCGCACTTTCCGCTGAATCGGGAAGAGTAACAAGCTGTGAAGAACCGTTTACAGTAGGGTAAGTAGCGATCTTAGCATTTGGTTTGCTTTCAAAGGCTTTACTGTCTTACATGCACGCTTGCAAAAATTCGTGTTCAATAACCATCTGATCTGAAGTAACTTATACTTTATTATCTTCCTCATTATTTTTTTAAAAAAAATAGGCAGCTTAGGCAATGACGACAGCGACGCCAAGGACGACGCCTTGTAAAAAATATTTTTACCGTCGAATTTCGCGGGTGCCTCAATTTGTTCAGTACGTCCATCGGTCTCAGAACTTACTCAAGCTTAATATGTAATGCTAGCGTTCAATTCCACAAATGGAAATTGGAAAAGTTAGCCGCTGTCGTTCACGATCTCCAAAATGCGCAGAACTTTGTTATTTCGCATTGTCGTTTTGCAGAGCACGGCAAAGAAATGTACAAAGATTTATAATGCACGAGCACAGCTATAGTTCTGCTCGTTGAACCTTTTGTTTTGTGGCGTTCTCGTTGCCGCTGCCTTTGTGTTTTGCTTAAGGTCCCCAATACTTTTATTTTCGATTTTCTTTGCCACGTCTAATAATTACTAGATCTAGAAGGTCCATTTAGGCCACATGTCGGCCACATTACCTAAAGAGAGTCAAAATTCGGGTTTAACACTTATACTTCATGTATCCTAAATTAACAGGGCGCTTTTGTGTGCATGATATAATATTGCTGTCTACCAAATGCGGATAAGATTATCTATCTCCTCAAGAAGGATTTGGAAACCAGCACTAGTGTATAAATAATATTTCAGTACTTGCAGCTACATTCGCCTTTTCCCTTTTGTATAATCTGATATTGTTAAGAATATTTATGGTAAAAATTACGGGTAAAAATGAACGACGTTTCGAACGCTCTTCGGTCATTCTCAAGTTAAATGTTGAGGGTAAAAATTAATAAAAAAGAGGGTGTTAAAGTCTGTTAAAAACAATTAAAGCATGCAAAAAAGTTTATCAGTTAAAAACTCTCGCACGTATTGAGTTGGTTTGTACATTGATTGTGGTCTCAGTTTGTTAATTAAAAAAACATTTCGTAAACGTGGCAGTCAAACTTGTTTTTGTATTTCTTTAAAAAGAGTAAAATTCTTGGCAAGACCTTTAAGTTACCATGGAGATGGAAAACAATGGCGTGCTTCCGTTTCTCGGCAGACAGCTGCTTAACAAGTCTACATACATTAGAACAAAATTTTCTGTGAAACCCACAAGCACTGGCCTCTTGTTGCACTTCAAGAGGGTCCCCTATACCCCTTTGAGAGACTCAGTGACATAAAAACATTTGTTTTCTTCACGAATCAACTAAGGCCCCGTCCAGTTCACACGTCTCCGGATATTTGTGAATCCGCAACTTTTTCTTTCCGGATTCAAAAGTTTCCCCGTCCACATGTCACGTATTCAAATCGAATTCGCCTGTCCACACACATCCGATGGTATCCGGATTCACTCTGGAGAAACTAGGCCTACACCTTGTGCCGCCATATTGGTTTATTGTTCGGTAACAGTCTGAACACGATTTTGCTACGTCATCGGATTCGAAAATAACCGGATTCACCGTCCACACGTTATCGGATTCGTTGCGAATTTATTTTTTTCCACTCTGGAGAGTGGATTAAAAAATCCGGATTCGCCGGATGCGTGAGGAGGGAAGCCGTATTCAGAAAGAAAAAATTGCGTAGTCAAAAATATCCGGATACGTGTGGACGGGGCCTAAATGATATTCAAAATTCTTTCACCTTCACGCGAAATTCGAGACAATCACGTTTCACATAAAAAAAAAAATAATAATAATATTCGCGAATGAATATTTTCACTACTTCTAACCTGTTCATAAAGCTGTTTATCCTCCGAGTTTGGCTGTTCGATCGAGAGTACATCTAAATCGCAAACAAGTTATGATGCCCGATATAAACTCGGCCTGGGAAAAACTATGCTTGATCGTCGCGCATTTCGGCTTTCTTCCAGCTGGTCCTACTTCGCTGAAGAGTGTGATCGCCTAAAATTCTTGTTTTCTTGACTAAAATATCCAGTCCGAAACTAATTAATTCCACCATTACACGTTATATCGCCTTAAAAGCATCTGATCAGCCTGTTTCTTCGCCGGCCGAAAGCAATGCCGCAATTCAAATCAATTCAATTCAGTTCTTTATTTACACTATACTGGGTATTTTAAATACAATTTATAAGTAAAGTAAATGAAAATAGTAGACCCCATGTATTCGTGTCGTCCTCTCGTTCAAAGGCAGGCCTCAGTTGATACTCTACGCGGTCAATGAAAGATTTGAGCCAGAAGATTCATTTCTCTACTCAGCCTGTATCAGGAGCCATAATTTGTTTGATACAAGATTGAGCAAGATCTTTAATTACGTGAAGTCAAGCCCCCAGTTGTAAACCAACAATGTCTTGTTTACGAGTTAAATGTGACCCATACATGTTGCTATTATGCGATGCCGACAGAACTGAGAACATAAGAACTGCTCTTCCTCTATTGGCAAACATTTCCCGGCGCTAGAGGCATTGTTTAGCCCCAAAGGATCATGGCAAGAATTTTATTGTTATCAGTATAGAAAAGCAAAAGCAAGTTTAGCTACCTCGTTTACGAAATGCTTTTTTTTATTAACAAACTGAGACAATCCGATCAATTCGACAATCTCAATGTACAATCCCACTCAATTTGTGCGAAAGCTCTAAATTTTTAAAATTTTTCTGCATGCTTTAATTGTTTTTAACACCCACCCTTTTTTTTGTTAGTTTTTACCCTCAACATTGAACTTGAGAATGACCGAAGAGTGGTCGAAACGTCGTTCATGTCAACCCGTAATTTTTACCGTGAGTAAAAAATCCTTACTGATTCGGTTTAGAATACCGCCGAGAAATTCAAGATGCGCAGGCACTTCTTCATTGGTTTGTTCCTCGTCGGATTTCAACTCGCCTGCTACAACTGCGTCCCTGGTCGTGCGCTTTCACTGCGAGACCTTTCCATGGAACTTCCCTTGAAGGAAAAACACACTGGTAAGCACTAACTAAACATTGATAGATCATGAAAACTCACCGCAAAAAAAACAAAAAAAAAAACAAAAAAACACACACACACACACACGCACAAAAATTAAAACCCTCTAACGGAAATAGCGGGCTACCCATGTCTGTATACAACCATGATTGCGGACGAGTCACTCGGCCGAGGACATTCGAACACCGTATCTGCTTATTCAACCAATCTCTTGAAACCTCAGTTCGTCCCCATATGAAAGTCCTTTGTGACTGACCTCAATTCCTTTTAATTTCAGTTATTATCACCCTTATTATTCAGCTCCTCGTACGTTAAATTAATCAAACCTCTTTTTCAAATTAACCCGCGTTTCTGTTGGACGTTTGTTTTTAAAGTAAATAATGTAAAAACGAGCAATATGATTGGCGCAAAGGACAAAGGATTCTTTAAAAAAAAGCAAACAAACAGTGTTTTCGGAACAATTTAGTAAAAAGCCAAAAAGTTCACAAACCATAGATGAATTAGAATTTGAATAGCTGCTCATTTGAATTATTGTCGTTTTGTAGAAACTATTCACTCAGTTGAAGTTTGACATCAATCAAAGCGATGAACATAACTGCTATGACGAGCTTCAAATTTTTCGCGCTTTTCAGCTTAATTTTGTTCACTTGCGTAGAACCCGGCAACGCAATACCTTTCCATGGTTTAAGAGGTGAAAAAAATGTTGGTAAGTATAATTAATTGCTCATCAGTGCTTTGCTGCGATTTTTTAGCACGTTTTCACTAGCGTAAACTAGCGTTCTCAGAATGCAAGTGTCAGTTTTTTCTGCTTCGGAAAGAGATAACTGGTTTTTACATGCATTTCAATATCTCATTTGTTTTAGCTGGTATCTAGTACTTCTGTCTTAAAAGTTTCAGAAAAATTTCCTGATTTTAGCGAACCGTCCAAAGGCATAGCAATCTTGCCTTTGTTTTAGTTGTCGATAAAATCAATAGTGCTTTTAATTAACATCTGTCCACTGACTTTATACTATACATTACTGCTGCAACAACAGAAGTTCCGCATGGTCAAATCACACTTCAAATTAAAAATCTCATTTACTCACTGAATATAAGCTTCACTGAGACATATTGACTATTAGTAAATGTTAATGTTACTCACAATATAGAAAAACAATTAAATAAACGCGAAACTGAGCACACTGTGTTCGTTACAAACTGATGTACACTAAGAAACTAAAAATCACAGCCAGTATTCAAAAATGCTTTGTTCCATAAAGGCTCGTTTGATAAATAGTCCTTATGGAAGCAACCTTAATACGATTAGGACATTAGAGTAGTAAACGAGTATTTCAACTTTAAACCGAGCATCATATAAGTTTTAGATATGTAAGAGAAAAGATATTAATTCTTGAAAAGTTTGAAAATGTAAATTGCGTTACATAGGAGTGTCAACGGGCTTTGCTAGCATTTATTTTACGCATGAGAAATTCCCACTCGGCTCAAAACTTGACATCAAGTGTGCATTGTTCTGAAAGCGCGCAAAGCGAAGGACAGAGCGAAAATGGAAGCAACCTTGAAGACTTTAACGCTCTTTGTGATATTCTTGCTAAACTTTCTGCTACTCTGCAGGGCAATACCTTTCCATAGTGAGTGCTTTTTTTCCTATGGGAATATTTTTTATAGACTCTTCCACTGGTCACAGTAAATAACTGTATTATTTTCTGGTCGGGATTAACTCAGAGAGTAAACTTATTATGTACGTAAAATCAACGGAAAATGATCTTTTTGTTTCTGTTTCAGCGGATAATTTGAACTTTCTGGAAGATGCTAAAGGTAAGTTAAATTACTTGTGCTTGATCATGGTCCACTTAACATTTTCCCACTCCCAATTAACGCCGTACTTTTTTCTATTCCATTTACGGGCATGAATGTTTTCTCGTGAAAAAATTAAAATTACAGGACAGAAGAAATCCACCTTTACTAGTTTGGAGAACTAGTGTAAACATAAACAAGTGTATGAAATGAAGCAATATCTTTCTATCGAGGGCGTAAAAGGAACTTAAAATTACGTTGGAAAAAGCGCGGGCTAAATTAACCTAATTGATACTTTAATGAGTTATGGAACCGTGATTTGAAGTCAAATGTTTATGTAAGTTTGTTTAATAGTACTTTTACAAATACAAAGAGCTGTTGTGGTTTTTCTTACAAGGAATTTACGGGATGAATATGTTAGTAATATATGGAGTTTTCATTTTCCTTGTAAACAAAAACACTCGATCGAAGCGCGAAAGGAAGGCGGGAAATTAAATTTTAATTATTACAAACGATTGCAAAACGATACGGTTGCTTGAGTTTCAATATTTCAAGTATTGACAACAAAGAGCGCGTTATTGATACATGCGGTATGATGTTGTAGATTATCTCTCAACTCAACCGTGATGCGGCCAGCGGCTAATTTTTTGTTTTATAAGAACAGATCTGGAAGATTAGGCGGAAGATTTTAGGGGGTTGTGATTTGAAACATAGTAACGGTCAATAAGAGAGAGAGTGGACTGGTTGCCGGAGGAAGAGAGACCCTGGAAACGAGAGTGGAATTTCTTTTAAGGTCTTTGAGACGTGAGTGGAGAATGCAATTTCTTTTGACATTATTTCTAGTCCGAACAAACCTTTTTTTCGTTTTCTTTTTCAGTTGAAATGGCTAAGCGAGTGGCTGGTAAGCTATATCTATCTGTCTTTGTTTTATTTTGTAATCTAAAAAAGAATGAATATTGTACCATAAATGGGAAAACATTTTTCTTTCAAGGAGCAGCGAGCTTCCTAAGAAGCGTTCTCTTCCAACCACTTTTGCTCAGAAGCAAGAATGTCTTTACACAATGAGTTACCCCTAAAATTTTATAATCAGTTCTTATCTGTTTATCTTAAATTTCCATAATTACACGTTTAAAGGTCATTTCAAGAATTAAATTACTAATGAATTAAGTATATTTCAGTTTATAGTTACGACGCCATATTCTATTAACTAAATTACTTTTCTATTAATAAAATAAAATTTCTTAAAGGAGATAAGTCACGGTTTGCGTATCTTGAAAAGTTTAGCCTAAATTTTTCAAGTTCGTCTTTTGTAATCCGCGTTAATCTTCACCATCCTTAACCATCCTTGTTCCCCTATGGTTTGTTATTGTCTCTTTGGTGTTTTTCTATTTTAGTAAACTATTATTTTCAGGTTTCCTTCAATTTGAAGGTAATTTTGTACGTGGCCAAAATAACTCAAACTTCCGTGACCCTGTCAATTCGTAACTAGCATAGTGGCTGCTCTACACGCTAACAGTATCCATCTCATCTCAATTTTTTTATAAGAATATTTTAAGAATAAACCAGACCCTGAGGTTTTGAAAAGAATATGATTTTGTGTGTTGAAAATTTGTATATACAATACTTTTATATGTTTTTGACTAAACCGTACAAAATTCTTCCTTTCTGTTTAAGTCAAAACTAACCAAAAAGCAGCAAAAACGGAACTGTTCGATGCTAATAACATTTCGGCAACAAGTTATGTGCATTTTATCAGGCTTTAATACCTGCAGACTGGCTCCAAAGTTACTTTAACACTATCCAAACACCAAATACATCCGAAAACCGAAATGTCGTACGCTATAATCTAAGAATATTTACAAAAAGTTTCAGCCTAAAATCGGCGGCAAAATAAGAATATTCAGCCTCGGCCGAAAAACAATATTCTTATAAAAAAAGAGTGTAGCTATAGTAGCAATAGAGGCTTCCAAACGCGACGTCTGTAAGTGAAATAATTCAGTGAAAATTTTAGCTGAGTTCTGTGACTGTCTTTGCCGGATTAACATGTCGTCAAGGTGGAATTGTGACAGAAAATGAAATGAACTCAGTGGCCTGTGATGATAGCCATCTTTGGTCAGACTTACCTTCCCTTATCAATCTTACATTTCGGCAGAGTGCAAAGATGAAAGGAACTGTTCCTGGATCGAGATGGAATTAGCAAAATACGGAGGAAGCCTGAAGGAGTATTGTGAGCTTTACAAGGACACGGCTCCCATCAAACAGTGCCGCAAGACTTGTAAAACATGTAAGTAATAATTACATACTTATGACAGTGTAAATCACTACTTTCCTTTATAAGTATTTCAGCAAACCAATGACGCTTTGGTCTATACGTTGGGTAGGCCTTGTTCTCAAGGTAACGTTATGCTCTAGATCACTCCCGATTTCGGAAATCCCAGCAGTATCTGGGCGATCCTGCAAAGCTAATTCTGCTCATGTGGACAGCTCCACCGGCTTTACAAGTAACCTTTGAACAGGCGCTCTAGTCGAGAATGGGGCAAAGAGAAAGCGGGAAGAAAGACGTCCTTCTTTCCCCTTCCAGTCGGAGCCTGTTCACGGGCTACTTTAAACGCATTTTCGTCCACTCCAAAAGCATTCACGCAGCGCGCGTGGTAACAATCTCCCCGGAAGAACTGACAGTACGTTTTCACAACTCCTTTGAACGGCCGCGAAGGGAAAGGGAAAGTTAGAATTCTATGAAAGTTCGCCATTTTGTGTAGTTAATTGAGTGTTAATATTTTTCTGGCCAGAACGCCGACCTGTGCCGATTCGTTAACCAAAACTATTACTGAAAACCTGTTGTTTTGTATCTCTTTATAGGCAAAGCCCCGGCTCCCATCGGTAAGGACATAACGACTAACATAAAATTATTCCCCTAAAGTAGCACACTTAACTACGGAGAGCGAGATTTTTGCAGGGCGTTAAAGCGAATATCTCCTTGGTCTTTGATTACAGCTAAAGAGTTAAACATTTCACAGATTACTGAGTATAGCAAGTTCTTGAAATTGTTTTGGCAATAATATCGAAGCTATAGCGTGATGCCTGCTCTACGCAAGATGGTATCCATCTCAGAATATTTAGGAGTAGCTTTAGTAACAATATTCCCAGTCGCTTGATTCTCCTGAACAAAACAAAACAACTGCAGATGAATTCGGTAATACGGTCAGTGAAAATTTTAGCTGAGTTCTTTTGCCGGATCAGCACTGGCCATAGGGGTCGCAACAGAAGATAGACCGAAACCTTCAACGATTATCGGTCTTACATTTTGGCAGAGTGCAAAGATGAAAGGGACTGTTCCTGGATCAAGACGGAATTAGCAAAATACGGAGGAAGCCTGAAGGAGTATTGCGAGCTTTATAAGGACAGAGCTCCAATCAAACAGTGCCGCAAGACTTGTGAAAAGTGTAAGTGATAATCACATACTTAATTATCACATTTTAAATCGTTACTTTCCTTTCTAAGTACTTCAACAAAACAACGAAGCGTTGACCTACAGAAGTTTAAAATACAGTGTAAATAACCTTCTCGCTACAAAGTTTTTGTCCACTCGAACTTGTGGTAGATTCCTTCTAAAAACCTGTTTTATTTCTCTTTATAGGCAAAGCCCCGGCTCCCATCGGTAAGGAAATAACAAACATAAAATTATTCCACTTTATTTACTACGGAGAGCGAAATTTTTTGCAGAGCTTTAAAGCGAATATGTCCTTGGTCTCTGATTACAACCAAAGAGCTAAACATTTCACAGATTACTAAGTTGAACAAGTTCTTCCAATGGTTGGGGCCATATCGTATCTATAGCGTGATGCCTGCCCTACGCAAGATGGTATCCATCCCAGAATAGGAGTAGGCATAGTAACAATATTCCTAGTCGCTCGATGCTCGCGAACAAATCAAAACAACTGCAGAAGAATTCGGTAACACGGTCAGTGAAAATTTTAGCTGAGTCGTTTTGCCGGCTCAGCAGGCCATCAAGTAGGGGTCGCAACAGAAGATAGACTGAAACCTTCAACGATTATCGGTCTTACATTTTGGCAGAGTGCAAAGATGAAAGGGACTGTTCCTGGATCAAGACGGAATTAGCAAAATACGGAGGAAGCCTGAAGGAGTATTGCGAGCTTTATAAGGACAGAGCTCCAATCAAACAGTGCCGCAAGACTTGTGAAAAGTGTAAGTGATAATCACATACTTAATTATCACATTTTAAATCGTTACTTTCCTTTCTAAGTACTTCAACAAAACAACGAAGTGTTGACCTACAAAGGCTAGGGCGTTCAGTGGGATACAGATTTAAATCAAGAGTGGATGCAGGGTAAGAAAGTTAAATCTCTCATACAGGCGTTATTCCCAAGGTAAACTCAGTTTTTATCTTGAGTCCTTTGCAAACATTAAGACATCGAGAGCTCTGCAAGGTGTCGCACTAGTTTGCTGAAGAGATAGGTAGACCAAAATGAAAATAAATCGTTTGAGATAAATGGCCCCAAATGTAAAGAGCTAAATTGAAACTAAGGTTACAAACAAAGATTAAGATCTCTTCAGGAAAGGTGGGGTTAAAACTTTCGCCACCAGTAAAAACTAAACTAATAAAAATACTACATAAGATATGTAAGGTGTACGGGGAGGTGGAGGGAAAAAGAACAAATACGTCTTAATGCTGAATAGCTGAAAAGTTCCTCTTGCGATGATGGCAATAGTAGAATGGGGCCGCGTGTACGAGATAACCAACCTTTTGTACATAACTGGGATACGCGCTCATTTTTCATTGGTCGCCAGGAGACTTCCTTTGTTGCAAACTGATAAGATATAGGAAATGCGTCGCGATAAAATAACACTATACTTTCTGTTTTCGGCATAATGTTTTATTTTTACATAGCTCCTGATGAATAAAAATTACCGGTAAATTAGTGAAGCAGATTTTGCTCGCGTGGACAGCCCACGCGGCTTTACACGCATTCTCGTCCTCTACAAAAGCGTCCACGCAACACTCGTGGAAACGTTATCGCCGGAAGAACTGGGCAGCAGGTCTAAAAATAACTTGAGAGAGATTACTTTGAAGATAAAGCCCGTATGAGGGATTAGCTCTCTTAACTTTTATCTTCTTTTGGTTTAAAGTAAAATAAGATCAAATAAATAATTTAATGACATAGAAGCCACATTGCGCCACAGCTTTAAAACGGACTTTACGGTATGAAAGTTTCAAGCCAATCAAAAACAGCAAAATATCTTAAAATGATAGCATCATTTTAATTGGTAACCTTCTTCCTGTTATTGATATCTTGTAGGTCCCAAAACTCCATCGACACCCAGCAGAGATCTAGGAGTGGCAACCGCCCTGGCTAACAAGAGGCTGGCAGAGGCAGCTCGTGATTCGCGTGCTAATTTGCTTTACAAAGTGAAAAAGATTTTGGCGGCCCGCAGGGGATATCCTCGAGCATTTCCAAGAAAGCGTGCCTTTTCTGGACTCGTAAGTTAATAATTACAACAATCATTACGGACCTCCGATTAGTCTGTCTTGCTGAGTCACACAATGTCGGGGTGACAAGCCGAAAAGTGTTCTTCGAACTGAGGAAAAACTCACTTTGCATTGGTAATTGATATCCTGGGGATTACGCAAATGACAGTATAAAAGAATTTACACAACCTCGTTCCCATGACCTTTTCCCTTGCTTAAGGACGAGGCGGGAAAAGGACCAGGGATCGGCTTTTCCCAGCCTGCCTCCAAGCGAGGAAAAAGGCCGTGGGAACGATGTTAAAATTACACGTGTTCCATCTCATCACTCTACTCGAGGCCCAACCTCGTTCCCAGGGCCTTCCAGGCCAGGGAAAAGGCCCTCGGAACGAGGGTGCTCGAGACCGTAAAAGCGAAGAGATTGGCGACCCACTCCCACCCAGAGAGTAAGTCGGGCTTGGTCTAGCTGTCCACTTCTATTTTCGCCTGATCTCAGGCCTATCCCGACCCAGAGTGATTCCTTAAATATGAACAAAGAAAGAAAATTCTAGGGTTTGGTCTGTTGTGTGGCAGGAAGTAGAGCGCAGTGGGAGTCCATTCCTTGAAATCCCCGATGGTGGATATTAAGCGTGCTTCGTCAGAAACAGATTACCTAGTTTTGTTTTAAGTATCGATCGAGAAAAAATAATTCAATGTTTTGAAGGAATACACGTTACACCAAACACTGATTATCAATTAAGCGGGTAATTATCAAATTAAATGTAGAAGAGCAGGGAGGTTGATACAGTATAAAGGAAACCGTAAAATATAATCTAAAGCAACGGAAACAGTCAAAATTAAATGCTTCGGTTGTTATTGTGTAGCAACCACAATTAAGGTTCTTTTTTTCATTTGTTATCATTGCAGCCCCTGATGGAACCTTAGAAGCTGGCAAGAAATATATGAACAGTTAGTCATCGTAGAAGCACATTAGAATAAGGCGCTATATAAGCGAAGATCAGTAAGCTATCCTCTCTTAGTTTACCTAAGCCGGCTGAAGATCTTAGATTGCCATTGATTGTGTAAAGTGATTATATAAAGTGCAGAATTAGGTATTTACTCTGTAACTGTAACTCTGTGACTTTATTCTTGATGCAGTGAACACGTGGCACCTTCCTTAATTCCATTATTTTAAGCCGTTAACATTTCGAAGCGCAAAACGAGTTGTGATTGGCTCACCCAACGTTTCCCGCGATTCCAAAGTATGTCGAAAGCTTACACTGTAAACGTCGAGTTTTCATGGTCTGTTGGAGTTAAGTTTCTAAGGTTCAGTTGCTTTGAATTTTCACAGAAGTTTTACTGAATAAAATACCAGGTAAACTAAACTAATGCGTTCAATTCAGTCTCTCAAAATACTTGATGCACTTTCCTGTTCGAGATCAGGGATTAGAGTGAACAGGAGGGGGGGAAGGGAAGAGACAGGGGTGGGGATGGGTGCGAGTGGCGAAAATTCGGTGTTTGTTAGCTTAGCTTTATCAGGAGCCCATCTCCTGATGGGCTCCTTGTTTTATTGGCTTCAGTAAGCAGAAGTCAATACAACAATACTGCATTAAATTCCAACGATCAAACCGACATTTATATATATATTGTTTGTTGTCTTACTCGGAAAAAGACAAACGCAAAACCTGCTTGCTCATCATGAAGGCTGACCTGATCAGTCAAGAGTTTCCGAAGTACACGATTCTCTGAACACTCTTCGTGACCCCTAACTTCACTTCGAAGGCCGAGCACAGCAATATTGCAATATTGCATTCAATTTCAAAATTCAAGACGACCTTTAATTTGAATTTCTAGCAACAGATTGTTCAACTGTTCGTGACCTTAATAGACTAGAAAATTCATTTTTAAATAAGCCCGCGTCATGCTTAAGGATTTGTTTAACGAACAATCTCAAAAGCGAGCGATGTGATTGGCGCAATGTAATAACAACCTTTTTTCCAAAACAAACAGGGTTTTGAAACAATTCAGTGAAATGTACAAACTGACGCTTCATTAGAATATGAATAGATCCTCTTCAGAGTTTATTGTTGGCTCTTGCAACTTTTCGCTCAGTTAAACTTTGAAATTAACACGGCAAAGCGGTTTTACTTGTAACTGTAACGAAGAATACAGCAGATGTCATGATGAACTTCAAAGTCTTCGCGCTTTTCATTTCAGTTTCCGTAACGTCTCTAGGACGCAACAGTGCAGTTCCATTTAGTAGTTTAAGAGACGAAGCCAGTGCTGGTGAGTACAATTTTTATGACATGCACGTTGCAGCGTGAAAATTGATGTGTTCCAGGGCTGCTTCGGAACACTCGTTTCTGGTATTTTAACATCTTAGTTTCACATTCATCGGGACAATCTCAGCAAAAATTGTTATGGTTTGGACTCGGTATAAGCGCTTTTCCCAAGTTGTGTTTGTCTTAGGTCTTCAGTTTTAGTTTCAAATCTTTAGTACTGTTTAATTAACAACTGACAATCAACTGTAGATTAATTATTCGAAAAACTAAATGTAGTTCCGCTTGACTAAACCATTTAAAAGATTTTCTTAAATCAAAATTCAGGCTTCACTAGACATTTTGAATAATATCAATTGTACTAACTTACTCAAGCCTAAATTTATGTTAACGCCGATTTATCACACGACTTAGACATGCAGTGTCCACACTACGCCGGAGAAATTTGAAAATGCAGCTTTATTTCTACGGTTTGGCCTACCGTCCACACTAATCCGTCAGGAATTTGAAGAAGGCGACTTTTCGTTTTTTCGTTTCGTAAGAGGACTAAATATGGGACTAAAATACATGGCCCAGAACACAGTTTTAGTTTAATTTCGTTTCGTTTATTTTTATTTTTGTCATATTATAAACATATTAACAAAATATCAATTCACAAGGCAAGGAGGTCCTGGGAAGCCCATAAGGGTTATGGAAAGAGCTACCTTTAGAGATACCTGAGACTTCATGGGCAGGACAATTTATCTGAATTTACAATCGGAATTTGAAGAATCTGGTGGTAATGCAAATCTGTTGCAAGCCTAAATTATAAGAACGGAAAGGAGATAGACATCAGGCTTTTACAGACAGTTATCCGCCTTGCTTCAATACCGAAAGATGTATCAGTATCTAGCTGAATAACTTATCGAACGTGTATACCTAGAAAGGTGCCCATGTATATGTACATGGTACTAAAAAAAATGATTCTATTTTTTTAAATTTCCATTTAGTTTATTTTTATTTTTGCCATATCATAAACATATTTACAAAAAAATCAATCATGATAATCATGATAAGACAAGGAATCCGAGAGAAGCCAGTAAGTTTTATGTAAAGAGAAACGCGATGGCCTCATGGTTAGTGCGCTCGTCTCCGGAGCGAGCGGTCCGGGTTCGAGCCCTGGCAAAGTACATTGTGTTGTGTTCTTGGGCAAGATACGTTACTCTTACAGTGCCTTAGTGTCTCACAATGGGGGTAACCTTGCGATGGACTGGCATCCTATCCAGGGGGGAGTAGAAATACTCTTACTCGCTTCATGCTACAGAAACCGGGATAAGCTCCGACTTGGTGGGCCATTTGGCTCGTATGCAGACTTATACAGGGTACTAAAAACATGATGTTTTTATTTTACTTCGTTTAGTTTATTTTTATCTTTGCCATATAATAATATATTTACAAAATATCAATTCATAAGTCAAGGAGGTCCATAGAAGCCAATAAAGCTTATAGAAAGGACAACCCTCAGAGATACCTGAGACTTCATCGGCAAGACCATTTATCTAAATTTACAATCGGGATTTGAAGAATCTAGTGATATTCTGTTCTAAGCCCAAAATATAAGAACGGAAAGGAGACAGACATCAGGCTTATCTTCCACAGACAGTTATCCGTGTAATTTCAATATCGGAGGATGTATAAGAGATCATTACCTAGCTGAATATCGAAAGTATATTCGGCAGCGGGTAAAAGGGATCAARAACTCATTCAAACCAATCACAAAGCTCTACTGCCGGCCACGTAATTTCTAAGTATTTGACCTAGTGTCATGTTTCTAAAGCTGTGTTTCAAACGTTGCATCCTGTAATAAAGCTTTTGTTAACCAAGCTTGCTCAGGGATATTAGGGGTGGGGAATGGTCCTTCAACGACCATTGGCCTCGCAAAAGTTTCGTTGAATTTCACGGTTCTCACAGTCTCGATCGCTTTTAGCGGTCACACTAATTTTTAATGAGAATATTTTTTTTTTCCGGCCGAGACTGAATATTCTCATTTTTCTATATATAGATTTAGGCAGAAAATGTTCAAGTGAATATTCTTAGATTATAGCGTATGACATTTCTGCTTTCGAACGTACCTGGTGCCTGGATGGTGGTTAATGTAAGTTTTGGAGCCAGCCTGCAGGCATTAAAACCTGATATGACGCACTGCCGTTAAGAGAAAGGAAGAATTTTATACGGTTTAGTTAAAACATATAATTGTACTGTATTTGCAAATTTTCAACACACATAATTAAATACTTTTCAAGTTTATTCTTAAGGTATTCTTAACATTTCGCAAATTTCAGCCTCGATATTCTTATAAAATAGATTCTTACATAAAAAAGGGTGTATGTGCATTTCGCAGTCTCGATTTTTTATTAGAGTCTCTAGTTTGTACATGGCTAAGAAAGTCTCGATACGTACCGATTTGTTTGTTGTTTTTACAAATGACATCTGAACATCTTTTAGGGTCTGAACGTCTCTCACTTACATTTAAAACACTTTGAAGGTTCGGTCCCGCAATTTGAAAAGTCAAAATGTCTCAGGCGCGCAAAGGAAAAGGTTGCATGGCTCGAGTACTAGCGGCTGTTCGGGGACGACCGGACACGAGAGAGCGGCGGGAATCGAGCTTAAGAAAAAGGCTAGTCTCGCCTTCTCCCATGCATTTACCATTCATCACCCTTAATATTGACCCTCAGTGTTTTTTGTAGCGACCTCATTGCGCTCCCTGTGCATTTTGCCAGTACATGCTATGTTTTTGTATCTGTTCGTTTCTCTGTTCCAATATCAAGGTTGTAAAGATGAACGACCAGACTGTGATTATATCGTCAAGAGCACAGGAGGCGGTGAAAAATTACATCAGTATTGCAAGAAATGGAAAGACGATGCCGCAGTGAAGCAATGCCGTAGAACATGCCACATGTGTGAGTGCTGATTGCAGTCAGTTCAACTGATGTGCTGCGTATTAAAGGGGCTCAGTCACGGTTTGCGCATATTGAAAAGTTTAGCCTCAATTTTTCAAATTCCTCGTTTGTAATCCATGTTAATCTTCTCCATCCTTAGCCATCCTTGTTCCTTTATGGTTTATCATGATCTCTTTGGTGTTTTTTTTTCTTATTAAACTGTTATTTTCAGGTTTCCTGCCATTTAAAGGTAATTTTGTATGTGGCCAAAACAACTCAAAAGACCGTGACTGAACCCGTTTAAATAAGACAATATAATGATGTTTTTCGACGCATTTCAGGACACAGCAATACTAACTTTGATTTCTCTGATGCCTTACTTTTTGATAGGCAAAGCTCCAAGCCCTACCGGTAAGAAGTTGATTTTTTGCCTTTGGGTTACGAGTTAATTAATTCGCAACTTGTTCGTAACCAGTTTTAATATTTTTGTCTGCCTAACGACTGTCTGACAGATCTCTAGCAAAGGATCATACTAGTGATCAAACCAGTTGGAAATTGTCCTGAAATTCATTTAAACTGCAACTTGAACTTGAATACACCGTCTTGAAGGAGGAAGGGGACGGGGAGGGGGGAGNGGGGGGGGGGGCTGAGAGAGAAAGGGTGGGTGTGCTTCCAAACATAAGTTCTAAAGGTGTGTGTGGCGCTATTGAGTGAGGTTACCTGTTCATTGTTTCTTTCCCTACATTAATGATCAAGAATGTAAAGATGAACGGTCAGACTGTAATTGGATTGTCCAGAACACAGGAGGTGGAGAAAAACTTGAACAGTACTGCAGACATTACAAGGACGTCGCCAAACAATGCCGTAAAACTTGCAACATGTGTGAGTATTAATGATTGACAAGAAGGCTTTTTTTTCATCGGCGCATATGCAAAAGCACACGCGAGAAGTTTATTTGCTTTATAATGAAGAATATCATGACGACGGCTAATCTAGTTGATAACGTTTTCACTGCATGATGATCTTGTAGGTTCTAAGCCCCCATCGCCACCCAGCACCGAGCCGGAAACAATGGCGCCTGAGACCGAGAGACCCACGACACCCACTACCAAGCCAAAACCAACTCAAACGTCTCACGGAGGACCTAACGGTAAGGAAAAATATACAACATAGTGACCGTTGCGCATCAAGAACTTGTACACAAGGTTGCCAAATAATTGTATTCTTAATATTACTGGTACCTTTGATCTCTAGCAAAGGACAAGACAACTGATCCGACCAGTTGCAAATCACCCTGAAATTCATTTAAACTGCAAAATAAGCTTGAATATACCGTCTTGAGAGAGGAGGGGAGGCGGGGGGGAAGGGAGTCTGAGAGAGAAAGGGTGGGTCTGCTTCCAAACATAAATGCTATAGGTATGTGTGGCGCTATTGAATGAGGTTACAGTGTCAGGGTTTTGGAGATTTCTATATATGTCGTCCAGGAGGAATTACGTATGAAACATTACGTTCGTAATTATCATGCTGACTGTTTTTTTTCCTGTACTAATGTCAAGAATGTAAAGATGAACGACCAGACTGTAATTGGATTGTCCAGAACACAGGAGGTGGAGAAAAACTTGAACAGTACTGCAGACATTACAAGGACGTCGCCAAACAATGCCGTAAAACCTTCAACATGTGTGAGTATTAATGATTGACAAGAAGGCTTTTTTTTCATCGGCGCATATGCAAAAGCACACGCGAGAAGTTTATTTGCTTTAAAATGAAGAATATCATGACGACGGCTAATCTAGTTGATAACGTTTTCACTGCATGATGATCTTGTAGGTTCTAAGCCCCCATCGCCACCCAGCACCGAGCCGGAAACAATGGCGCCTGAGACCGAGAGACCCACGACACCCACTACCAAGCCAAAACCAACTCAAACGTCTCACGGAGGACCTAACGGTAAGGAAAAATATACAACATAGTGACCGTTGCGCATCAAGAACTTGTACACAAGGTTGCCAAATAATTGTATTCTTAATATTACTGGTACCTTTGATCTCTAGCAAAGGACAAGACAACTGATCCGACCAGTTGCAAATCACCCTGAAATTCATTTAAACTGCAAAATAAGCTTGAATATACCGTCTTGAGAGAGGAGGGGAGGCGGGGGGGAAGGGAGTCTGAGAGAGAAAGGGTGGGTCTGCTTCCAAACATAAATGCTATAGGTATGTGTGGCGCTATTGAATGAGGTTACAGTGTCAGGGTTTTGGAGATTTCTATATATGTCGTCCAGGAGGAATTACGTATGAAACATTACGTTCGTAATTATCATGCTGACTGTTTTTTTTCCTGTACTAATGTCAAGAATGTAAAGATGAACGACCAGACTGTAATTGGATTGTCCAGAACACAGGAGGTGGAGAAAAACTTGAACAGTACTGCAGACATTACAAGGACGTCGCCAAACAATGCCGTAAAACCTTCAACATGTGTGAGTATTAATGATTGACAAGAAGGCTTTTTTTTCATCGGCGCATATGCAAAAGCACACGCGAGAAGTTTATTTGCTTTAAAATGAAGAATATCATGACGACGGCTAATCTAGTTGATAACGTTTTCACTGCATGATGATCTTGTAGGTTCTAAGCCCCCATCGCCACCCAGCACCGAGCCGGAAACAATGGCGCCTGAGACCGAGAGACCCACGACACCCACTACCAAGCCAAAACCAACTCAAACGTCTCACGGAGGACCTAACGGTAAGGAAAAATATACAACATAGTGACCGTTGCGCATCAAGAACTTGTACACAAGGTTGCCAAATAATTGTATTCTTAATATTACTGGTACCTTTGATCTCTAGCAAAGGACAAGACAACTGATCCGACCAGTTGCAAATCACCCTGAAATTCATTTAAACTGCAAAATAAGCTTGAATATACCGTCTTGAGAGAGGAGGGGAGGCGGGGGGGAAGGGAGTCTGAGAGAGAAAGGGTGGGTCTGCTTCCAAACATAAATGCTATAGGTATGTGTGGCGCTATTGAATGAGGTTACAGTGTCAGGGTTTTGGAGATTTCTATATATGTCGTCCAGGAGGAATTACGTATGAAACATTACGTTCGTAATTATCATGCTGACTGTTTTTTTTCCTGTACTAATGTCAAGAATGTAAAGATGAACGACCAGACTGTAATTGGATTGTCCAGAACACAGGAGGTGGAGAAAAACTTGAACAGTACTGCAGACATTACAAGGACGTCGCCAAACAATGCCGTAAAACCTTCAACATGTGTGAGTATTAATGATTGACAAGAAGGCTTTTTTTTCATCGGCGCATATGCAAAAGCACACGCGAGAAGTTTATTTGCTTTAAAATGAAGAATATCATGACGACGGCTAATCTAGTTGATAACGTTTTCACTGCATGATGATCTTGTAGGTTCTAAGCCCCCATCGCCACCCAGCACCGAGCCGGAAACAATGGCGCCTGAGACCGAGAGACCCACGACACCCACTACCAAGCCAAAACCAACTCAAACGTCTCACGGAGGACCTAACGGTAAGGAAAAATATACAACATAGTGACCGTTGCGCATCAAGAACTTGTACACAAGGTTGCCAAATAATTGTATTCTTAATATTACTGGTACCTTTGATCTCTAGCAAAGGACAAGACAACTGATCCGACCAGTTGCAAATCACCCTGAAATTCATTTAAACTGCAAAATAAGCTTGAATATACCGTCTTGAGAGAGGAGGGGAGGCGGGGGGGAAGGGAGTCTGAGAGAGAAAGGGTGGGTCTGCTTCCAAACATAAATGCTATAGGTATGTGTGGCGCTATTGAATGAGGTTACAGTGTCAGGGTTTTGGAGATTTCTATATATGTCGTCCAGGAGGAATTACGTATGAAACATTACGTTCGTAATTATCATGCTGACTGTTTTTTTTCCTGTACTAATGTCAAGAATGTAAAGATGAACGACCAGACTGTAATTGGATTGTCCAGAACACAGGAGGTGGAGAAAAACTTGAACAGTACTGCAGACATTACAAGGACGTCGCCAAACAATGCCGTAAAACCTTCAACATGTGTGAGTATTAATGATTGACAAGAAGGCTTTTTTTTCATCGGCGCATATGCAAAAGCACACGCGAGAAGTTTATTTGCTTTAAAATGTAGAAAATCATGACGACGGCTATCTTGTTGACAATGTTTTCACTACATGTTGATCTTGTAGGTTCTAAGCCCCCATCGCCACCCAGCACCGAGCCGGAAACAATGGCGCCTGAGACCGAGAGACCTACCCAGAAACCCACGACACCTACCCAGAGACCCACTACACCTACTACCAAGCCAAAACCAACTCAATCGTTTCACGGAGGACCTACAGGTAACGAATAATATACAACATAGTGACTCATCAAGAAAATGTACATGGAAGATTACCAAATAATTGTATTCGTACTTTTGATCTAGCGCAAATGTAAAGAACTGAGTAAAGCCTCTTTTTCACTAGGGACGCAAGCATAAGCACAAGCATAACAGCTCAAAGTGAAAACAGCCTCGACGCAAGCATAATCGCTAGCATAAGAATAAAGATAACTTTTTTTCTTTTCTCGTGGTTACGCTTGAACTTACGCCCACTTTATGCCGTGGGAAAACGCATAACACCGCATAAGCACAAGGACATAAAGAAATTTACTGCATCTGGCATAAACTACCTATGCTTGCATTTGTGCTTGCGTCGCTAGTGAAAACTAGGCTTAGAGTTAAAGTTAATAAATTTTGGCACAAGTGGTTGCTCTCTCAGTTGGAGCGAATCTCATTTTCTATGTTGAAGAGATAAAATGCATTGGTGTTCCTCCTGTGTGGAACAGTGACCCCACTTCAGCACTTTGTCTGGTTAGTAAGAGGACAACCGCGGTATCGGGCATAAATTCAGATTGAACAAGATACAATGAATAGCCCTTATGCACGATGACATCGGACTAGCAAAAAATCTCTACCAAGCCTCAAAAATGGAAATTCTAAATTTATATCATGAACAAATTCCTAAGGCAATAAAGAAAACGAAGAGAATTCCCACGTGAAAGCAACGCGTGTTAGAAGTTTGGGAAAATTTCGCGCAATCGAGGCTTGGTAGTAAATTTTGAGGATGTGACTTAATCAAAAATGAGATCTATTGGGTCAGGCCGAGCTCGAACCTCTTGATTTGGAGTCTAGCGTATTAAACTCAGTTATAAAGGCCATTCTTCCGGCCTCTTTCCTGGTTGGGTGTGAGGCTTTGAAAAATCCGTAAAAACTGAAAATAAGCTTATATCTTTGGTTATCTCCTTGTCAAACTATCTTCTTCCAGGATTTCAAAGAGCCTGTTTAGAAGCACACAATGACCATCGATTCTTTCACCGCTCCCCTCCTCTCAAGTGGTCGGCGGAGTTGACGCGTGATGCGCAGGACTGGGCCAATTACCTCGCTGCCACAAACTTGTTTGAGCACGATCCGACCGCGCGGCCGAAGGACCAGGGCGAGAACCTGTACTACATAACGCCATATCCCAAGAGGCTGTGCGACCTCGGTGAAACAGGGCAGGACTGTCTCAGCTGCGGAGAAATTGTAAAAGCTTGGTATGACGAGGAGCTGGATTACGATTACGTAACTGGTAGAGCAAAGGTGCCGTTTGCTCCGATTCTACATTTCACTCAGATTGTTTGGAAAGCGAGCAAGAAGCTGGGAATGGCAACTGCGGTGGCTAGTGATAGGCTGGTAGCAGTGGCTCGTTACGAACCCGCAGGAAATATTGGTGGACAGTTCCAAGAAAATGTTCTTGTTCCTGACTTGTAAGTAGCATTAGTGAATTGATAATAGCTTCCTATGGCATCTTTCTTTCGGTTCGTCATACTATCCAGAGTCACACAATCTTAACGTGACAATCCGGAGTAGTGGGGTGGGCCTTACTAATCAAAGAAATTTTAAAATGCCTTTATTAGTCATATAGAGAAAATCTGGATTTTTAGCATGCTTCTATCAGCTATAACAAAGCTTTTTTTTCCGTCTGTTTTCATTGCAGCCCCTGATGGAATCTTTACAAGCTGGCAAGAAACATGTGAACACTGACAGTTAGCCATCGTAGCTACAGAAGCATATTAGAATAAAGCGGTTATATAACGCCAATGGCTCAGTATGCTAACCCCAGTATGCTATCCTTATCAAAAATATATAGAAAGCGGACGATCTTCTAATGTCGAGCGTTTGTTGACATGTTTATCGAAATTTGTATTTACCGTGAGTGTAACTTGTTAATTCCGCTCAGTACTTAATTCGATTTAACAAATTGACGTCAGTTTTTTATGCGTCTGTCCTGTTATTGATGATGAATTTCGTCATAACGTTGTCAAAGTAGCTGTGGGTCCACGAGGCGAAAGCGGAGTGGATCCGCAGACTACTTTGACAATGTTATGACGAAGTTCTTTGCCAATAACCGGACAGGCGTATGAAAAACGGACGTCAATTTGTTTTTTACTATAACAGATCGTCAAATTGTCCGCTCTCGCTTATTGACGCATCGCATGAGTAATAAATTCATGTGTCTTTCCGCATATTGACGATACAAATTAGCCAATGAGCGCGAGAATTTCTGCAGTTATCGTAAAAAGGGACGGACCATTTTTTTTAGGAGGGGGAGGGGTGGTCGGAAATTTCCTAAAAAAGAATTCCTACACAGCAAAAACTGCTAAAAAAATCGTGCAAGGGGAAAAAAAAAACAGTGCTTTCTACTAGCCGGGTCCTGTTTTTTGTTGCTGAAAAAAATTCTTGCACAAGTTATTATCCACCGAAAAAAATCATACACAACCTGAAGGTGAGAAAGAAAAATTCTTACCTCAGAAATTTGCCCAACTACCGACCCTCAAAAAAAAGGGGGTCTGTCCCTTATCCATGGCCGTCGTTTTGACGGATCAGGTGCAGCTACAAAACGACCTGCATTATAATTGATTCACACATCCTCTCCCACGTTTTCTAAGCACGGTCGAACGAAGGTCTCGTAAGCGGACAAAGTCAGGACCACAGAAAGTGTCCGCTTTAGAATTAACATACCTCTCGCGGTTATAAATATTTTTTTTCTGTCTTAACAGGACTAAATATGCGACTAAATTACATAACATAGGGCTTAGTTTTAGTTCATTTTCGTTTAGTTTATTTTTATTTTTGCCATATTATAAATATATTTGCAAAATATCAATACATAAGGCAAGGAGGCCCAAGGAGGCCAATAATCTAAGGCTTGTGTAAAAGAACTACCTTTGGAGATACCTGAGACTCACAGACAAAAAATAAAATGCTTTCATCGGGAGGACAATTTATCTAAATTTTCTATCGGAATTTGAAGAATCTAGTGGTATTCTATTTTAAGCCTAAAACATAAAAATGGAAAGGAGACAGACATCAGGCTTCCACGGACGGTTACCCGCCTTACTTCAATATCGGAGGATGTATAGAAGGTCACTGTCTAGGGGGAAGGAGATTCCCATTTAAAAAGGACGGAGATGCTCGTTATGCCTTTTAGGTGTAAAGAGCGGTTTTTACGGGCGGCGGGGCGGCGGCGGGGCGGGGGTACCTCTCAAGGCGTTCAGCCTCGAAATATCCACAGCTGAAGCTTTCGCGGTACCTAGTAATGAGCCGAAAATAATATAACAGAAGATACTGTGTTGTTTTAGAACCGGTGCCTCTTAGGAGTGAAAAAAATTTCAAGCTACGCCCACAAAACAGGATCTTGGTACCTCTTAGGGGTTCGTTTCAAAATTCCTGACGAGCATGCCCGTCCTTTTTATATGGGAGTCTGGCCCCTGGATGACTGTCTAGCTGAATATAGAACGTATGTACCCAACTCAGAAAGGTACACTTGCACAGGGTACTCAAAAAAGTATTTTTCTCCGTAAAATAAGTCATTGGGACAGTTCCACCTGTTCACTCTGACTCCGACAACAGTGAGCTTTTTGAGGTCACCATTGTGGCACAATAGCTAATAAATAACTACTCCAAAGTTTGGAAAGAGGTGTTCAATAAAAACACAATAACTTTCTAATGAATTGTTCGAGAAGCATGGAATTGAGTTTATTCTGTCTATATCATAACTTCATTATAAGTTTAAGATACTCATTACTGTCTCAGTTTCAGTTTACAAAAGCTTTTGCAACACTGCATGTATTTATGGTCACGCAAATAAACTAGTTGTTGATGTTGTTGTTGTCTATAAGTAAGTTGTCGAGGAGACTTACCTATGGAAAAAAAATAAACATCTGTATAAATCAAGGCCTAATGAGAGCAAAATCGTTTCAAAACGCGTTTTGCAAATGCTCTGAGATTTTGATTGTTCTTATTTCGGAAGAAAAATGTTTTTGGGTGAGATACTAACGGTAATATTTCTAAATTGAAGATCACCTTCGACCACCTTCAAATTATGTTAGCTAGGTACCTCCCTCATCCGCAGAGGCTCCCTGTTGGAAATTGAAAACGAGCCTCCGAACAGCACGAAAGAGGCCTATGAGAAGTGCGCCTGGGTACCAAGGCCCCGCGAGGCAGTTTTACCGAGTGGCACTGGAATCAGAAGCAACCGCTACATTATTTCCGTCTGTAACGCGGGCTTTGGCCGGTTCGCTCAGGGAAATATGGAAGGTGAAGGCATTGCAAGAAAAGTCACGCTGAACGATGGCAATAAGATGCCAATGTTTGGTTTGGGAGTGTACAAAGCCAGTCCGGAAGAGACTGTCAAAGCGGTGAAGTTTGCTTTGCAGAGCGGATATCNGATACTCATTACTGTCTCAGTTTCAGTTTACAAAAGCTTTTGCAACACTGCATGTATTTATGGTCACGCAGATAAAACTAGTTGTTGATGTTGTTGTTGTCCATAAGTAAGTTGTCGAGGAGACTAACCTACGAAAAAAAAAAAATAAACAACTGTATATATCAAGGCCTAATGAGAGCAAAATCGTTTCAAAATGCGTTTTGCAAATGCTCTGAGATTTTGATTGTCCTTATTTCGGAAGAAAAATGTTTTTGGGTGAGATACTAACGGTAATATTTCTAAATTGAAATATCACCTTCGACCACCTCCAAATTACGTTAGCTAGGTACCTCCCTCATCCGCAGAGGCTCCCTGTTGGAAATTGAAAACCAGCCTCCGAACAGCACGAAAGAGGCCCATGAGGAGAGCGCCTGGGTACCAAGGCCCCGCGAGGCAGTATAACCGAGCGGCACTGGAATCAGAAGCAAACGCTACATTATTTCCGTCTGTAACGCAGGCTTTTGCGCGGTCGCTCAGGGAAATATGGAAAGAGAAGGCATTGCAAGAAAAGTCACACTGAACGATGGCAATAAGATGCCAATATTTGGTTTGGGAGTGTACAAAGCCAGCCCGGAAGAGACTGTCAAAGCGGTGAAGTTTGCTTTGCAGAGCGGATATCGGTTGATCGATACTGCAGCTTTCTATGAGTAAGTACGTCGATTAGCTAGAGAAAAGAACCCGAATCATTTGGAATAACATGTACTTCAAACACTCCCATAACCAGTTTACTCCGTTAGTGTTTCTTCGAATTAATGTTTAGCAATTATCGCTGAGGTCTCTTGCAGCTTTCTGACTGCGTAAGACTGACTTACAATATGNCCGGAAGAGACTGTCAAAGCGGTGAAGTTTGCTTTGCAGAGCGGATATCGGTTGATCGACACTGCAGCTTTCTATGAGTAAGTACATCGATTAGCTAGAGAAAAGAACCCGAATCATTTGGAATAACTTGTACTTCAAACACTCCCATAACCAGTTTACTCCGTTAGTGTTTCTTCGAATTAATGTTTAGCAATTATCGCTGAGGTCTCTTGCAGCTTTCTGACTGCGTAAGACTGACTTACAATATGGTAACTACTGCACACTCATGCGCCGATTACACGGTTATCAATATTCTCACATGATGACAACCTTTTTCTCATATAAACGCTCGGCAAAGTTGCCTTGGGGGGAGGGTGTTCATGGATACTCACGCACGCGAAAAATCAAGCACGCCAAAATCAAAAATAAAAATAAATTGGCCTGACTCGTGGTTGACTCGAGTTTGACTCGTGACTCGAAGTTGACTTGGGCTCGCGGTTGGCTCGTGTAATGCTACAACTCTCGTGAAACAGACATCTCCAGACAACAAATTAACACAACACAGACACAGACACAATGTCAGTTTATTTGGAATTTTTCATAGTGACACAGCATTTAGAACACATTTCGGGTATTTCTGGTTTAATTTATTCACCGGGATAAAATATATATGAAAAGAATATTCATAAATATAAAAAGAAATTGTGTAATAAGAATATTCATAAATATAAACATTATATATTGTCACACAACACACCAGCGACAGAACGTCACGCACATCTTGTAGCACTACACTCCTTTTTTTACTTAAGAATACTGTTTTCTGGCGCGGGCTAAATATCCCTTTTTTTTCTGTCAATTTAACGCTGAAAATATTGTTGTGAATATTCTTAGATTATAGGAATAAAAAGTGGACTATGCCGACACAACGTCGGGTTATCTGTTCTATCATTATTTTGATGGTGTGATGGTGTTGAAGTAATTTTGGAGCCAGACTGCAGGCAATAAAGCCTAATACAATGCATATAACTTCTTGCAGAAATGTTATTAGCATCGAATATACGGCTAGTTCTGTTTTTGTTGTTTCTTGGCTAGTTTTGCCGTTTAGAGGAAGGAAGAAATCTTTTACGGTTTAGTTAAAACAAATTATTTTAGTGTTTACAAATGTTCGACGCACAATATTGTATTCTTTTCAAAATCTCAGCCTCGGGGTTATTCTTAAAATATTCTTAAAATATCGTAAATTTCAGCCTCGATATTCTTATAAATTATATTCTTATAAAAAGGAAAGGGCGTAATTAATATCATACCCAGTCAAACATCTTTTTAATCACAAAAAGGAACAGCAAAACTCGTCTGGCTAACGAAACAGCAAAGCTTGNGGAAAGGGCGTAATTAATATCATACCCAGTCAAACATCTTTTTAATCACAAGAAGGAACAGCAAAACTCGTCCGGCTAACGAAACAGCAAAGCTTGCCAGACAACTGTCCTGGTCACAGAGGTTTTCTTGCTACTTTCTCTTACTGCAGTGAGAAAGGTTGCGCAGCCGTCGAAGCTTTTTTTTTTGTTTGCAGCTTCGTGAATCGTTTTTCTACCTTGCGTCTTACATTTAATTGCGAAATAGAAAAAAGAAAACCATTGGAACCAGGGTGTCAAACAATACTTGTCAAAACCCGCTGGAGAAGCTCAGTCGATGAACAGTCCAACGCGGTACAACCTAGCCTGTTTCAGATTCCTGGTCAGTGGTGACGATCGAAAAAACGGAGGAGATTTCATTTCTGAGCGATCTCAAGAAATCTTGATGGGGGAAAACATTGGCATTTCTTGCTGAGCCGACCCCAAGTGACACCTAAATCCAAAATTTACATCCATAAAAGAGACGACAAGCACGTAAGAGGTTCCTCCCCCCCCC